AGGTCTCCTGCCAATGTTGGTTGTGGTGGGACCCTTGTGTGCTCTGTGCCTTGGAGCAGGTTGCTTGGGGGTCACCACTGTGTGAGTCTGCTCATGTGCTCTTGGTTGTAGGGCTGACTGAGTGGGAGCCACTCTTGGTCTATTTGGTTGTGCAACTGGAATGTTGTTGGCACCAGCTCTGGAAGATGGTTGCTTACTGGCTGGAGGTTTTGCCATCATGATCTCCCCAGAGGTTGGATGACTACTAGGGCTGGCAAGCTCGATAATCTCCCCATCATCCAACGATGGATGGGCACCAGCGAGGGCATTCAAGGGTGTGGCACTGGGCAGCTGGTGGCTCGTAGCTGGGACACGCATGGGTCGTGTGACAGGCAACTCTCCACAAGCTAGCTTGGGAGATGGAGCCGTGGCTACATTGGTGGGCAGCTGGTTGGTGGCCAAGAGGGCATCAGTCAATCGTTGCTGGATGGCAATGGCATCTTGCTTGGAATGAGTAGCCCTGTGGCGCTGCTGCTTCTTTGGGCTGTGGAGCCGTTGGGTACCAATAGCGCTGTCACCAGTCGGCTTGTGGACGCCATCAGCACTGCCCATGGCTGACAGTGGAGTGGCATTGGTCTCCCCATGAACTGATGGTGTCAAAGCAGGTGTAGGTGCTGTGACAGGTGGCCTAGCAGCTACCATGACCAAGGCTTCCAGTTGAGCTGTCAGTTGGTCCTTCAGGGCGATGAACTGAGCTTCCATCTTTCGTTTGAAGGTTGCGTGGTCAGCTCTCATGTCTTGCTTGAATGATTCATGATAAGCTCTCATGAGCTCGAGTTGTCGAGCAACGGTGACCTGTTGCTGTTGAAAGCGGATCAGCATGTCTTCCATGGTTGGGTTATAGATGAGGTCTGGGTGACAACTGGAGCTGTTGGGAGACAGCTCTGAAATCTCCCCATCACCCAGCTGGTGGTTGGTCCTACCGTAGGTCATGGGTGCCGGCCTCTTCTCAAGGATGTCGAAGGGTGATGTGTATGCGTCTGGTGGGGACACTGTTGACACAGGTGGTGCCGGTGTCTTCTCAAGAATGTCAAAGACTGATTTGTATTCATCTGGTGGTGGCACTGGTGGCTGTGTGTCCCGATACTGGTGGCGGTAGGCTAGGTTGCTGTTGCCAGCTCCATCGTGGTGTGTGAGGCGGGCACAGGTGTAGCTACCTTGGACTTGTTGGGGACCAGAGTAGACGTAGTGCCAGCCACGGTCGGAGTAGCCAGGGGCATAAGGGTTGCTCGCATCGCTGTAGAAACCGTAGAAAGACATGGTGCCTCTTGTTACTGACAAAGAAGAGGTGTACCTGTTGTACCGGTAGAGGCGCTGGTTTTCAGCTCTTGTAGCAGTAGAATAAAGGCTGACTCAACTGTAGCTGGAAAAACACAAAGGGGACTTCCTGGGACCTTGGTATGGGCCTGGAAAATTCAATCTAGGTGTAGTTGAATAAGGTAGCCAGTGTAGAGGGTCTGGAACCTGCTTCCTGAATTGCCGTGGTGCTGGGAACTGGCTTGGTTTGTGGAGGTTTTGCCTCACTGGAAGCTAGCTTACTGGGATCAATGAATCTCCCCACAAAAGCTCCTAAAATTCAAGGTGAGATACCCACTGACCAATTGGAGGGTGGCGGAGACAGTGGTACCACTTTCAGCCAGGCGAATTGACCTCTTGGGTGCTTCGTCGTCGCTCCGAGTGGCTCTTTCGTGCACTCCGTATTTCGGGCTTGTACTTGCTCGATTTCAATGACTCGACGGTGTAAAACCTTTAAAATGTGAGGGCGAATCCAGTTTACGAAACTGGGCCTGCTTTCGGTACGGGGAACGTTGTCGTATAAGTCTTCGATGATCTAGGATCGAAAAAGAACTCACAAACTGACTCAGTGCACGGCAAATAAGTAACGAAACTGCACGGGCGTTTTGATTGGCTGATGGGCTTGTTCTTCAGCGTTCAGTGAAATCGTGAAACAGTTTAGGACGGAAACTCGTGACACTCGGAAACTGCACGGACGTTTTGAAGAGATAAGCCTCGAAAATGATCAATAAACCACGTAATTCGATGCAAGATTGACAAGCGATAAGCCCGTACAGCAAAGAGATATCGGTTGATGCCGTAATAAACAATGGCTGCTTCTTCGGACGTAAAAGACTTGCTCGATTGCCAAGATAGGTGCGAAAACAATAAGTCTCCTGTTCTCTCCGGGTGACTCGAGGTGTACGTAAGGGGACCAGTGTTCTTCTTTCGAGTGAATTGGCTGGTTTGCCTCTCTTTCGTGCTAGCTAGCTAGCACCGCAAGTTGTTGCCGTCGTCAATGAGGTTGTAGCCTTTGTAGGTCCTTTCAGCAATGACAATGGGATGTCTGTTGGAGTTGTAGATTGGTGTATGGTCAAGTCAAAGGTTCCTGTCACTGTGGTGAAGGTTGGAAGTATCAAAATTGACCAGAAGGTTGTGGAGATAAGACTTCAAGATGGGCCTTGAAATCACCACCAAATTCCAATGAAATCCAATGAATCCAACTGTAGCTGTAGCACTTTTTGTTGTATTTCAAAGAGATCCTTTTCTCGTCAAGGAGGTCTCTTCTTCCCTTAAGAACTGCCTGAAATCTATGCGACTGTTAATCCAATAAGTTTCTTGAAGGTTCAGTTCCAATACTCAAGTAGTGGACTGGGTCTCGCTGAAACCCTTCCTCAGGGACAGCGGTAGTCAGGCAGTTCAGGGAGCCTTGTCGTGCCTCAGGAGTATTCCAACACCTCCAGTGGGCACCAAACCAAGAACTTGGCCCTGTCAGTCAGACAGGAGGTCCAGCAGAGCTCTCTGCTGGGCCCTTTGGGCCAGCTCTCCTCAGGAGCTGGGGGCCTTCGTTATTCAATCGTGCAGTGGCAGTCTGGGAACAGTACTATCTGCTACCTCCTACTGCTTCTGCCCGGCCTCAACAGGATTGGTATCAACTGCTGCGGTATCAAAGGGGCTACAAGCTAATCAGGATCGGTCTCAATCTTTCGTACTATTTTCTTAACTATGGTAGAAAGGACGATCCTTTCTTGCTGCTTTGGCTGGAGATAAGCCAGCTGCGGGTGCTGGAGCTGTAGGCCAGCATAGCTGTTGGAGCTATCTCTGACAGAATCCAGAGCTCTCGATCCTAGACTTTATCGTCTGTTCCTGGCCCAAGTTCTTGATGTATTGGCAGAGACACCATTCCAAGCTGGTTGTGTCCAAGGCACTCGAAGACATCTGTAGTGAGTGCTATGTGTTTGCCAATCGACACAAGTATTGTGTTACTATCCAAAAGAAGAATGATGAAGAAGCAGAAAAAGCGCGAGAGAACAACCAAGATGGTACGGCTGAAGAGAAGCTTACGCATGCTGCACAGAAGAGGAAGGAGGAATGAGAGAAGCTAATGGAGGAACAAGAACAGGCTCTTCTAGAAGTCGCGGAGAATGTCAGAGATGCAAAGAAGCAGCGAGAGTATTACCAGTAGAAGAAGAAAGAGGCTATCGACTCCAGGGATCTCTACTATCAGCATCGTGACAAGAGATCTCTTTGCTTTGTTGCCAACTATTCTCAAAACATGTTGGTTCCCTCCTTTGCATTTGAACAACCAGGGGAGACCTACTACTACTCTCCTCTCTCAGCATACTGCTTTGGTGTTATTGATTGCTCTATTGACAAGCTCCATGCATACACCTACACAGAAGATCTTGCCAAGAAGGGCTTCCCTCATCGTCCGTCATTTTTGGAAGCAGAAAGTTTGGCGCTTGGAAGATGTTGGATTGGAAGATCCCTACAAAGAGATCACCTTTGTCTTCGACAACTGCTCTGGACAGAACAAGAATCGAATGGTGTTGCGACTGCTCTTCTTCATGGTGAAGTTGGGCTTCACGAAGGTTGCTAGAGCTTCTTTTCTTGTCCGTGGCCACACAAAGAATGACTGTGACAGGCTCTTCAACGCCATGAAGAAAGAATACAGGTACTGTCAACGACTGCTGTTGTTCTTCCCATGCAAACCTGAATACTGATACTGTCTTTCTTCATTCTCTTCTTCTTTGCTTGTTCTCAGAAAGGACAATATCTACAGGCCAGTCGATCTGTTGCAGTCGATGATGCATGAAAGAGTGGAGCCAGTGTGGTGTCCCTGTGATGCCGATCCTGTTGATGGCACCAACGTGTTCTATGATTGGGAAACTCTCGAAGATAAGTACATGTATCAGCCAACCAAGATTAAGACGCAACATGTCTTCACCTTCGACATTAACAAAGACAATGGCGACACTCCCATTAAACAGAGTTCTCACGACAGCAACAAGAAGTACGTGCAGGAGATTGTCCGGCCCGAGTTCCGTGGCAAGGATGCCGCTTTCTGGAAAGCGGCAATCCGTGCCGAGTTAACACCTCTTCCACCTGCTGGCATCCAAGACATCAAGTGGAAAGAGTTGTATGATAAGTGGGGGCCTCTTATTCCAGAAGAGAAGAAAGCTCAGCTTCGCTACTACTCGAAGGATCCTGGAGAGGAGCGACGCAACAAAATCAAGGCCAACACTAAGAAGGCGCAAGCAACCAGAAAAGAGCGAACCATCACCAAGTGAATCTAGTAGTTATGTTAAAATACCCTATTATACCTTATCTGTTGTTGAGTTTGTGCTATGGTGAGGGCTCTGTTTGGTGCTGTTTTGGTTGACAATGCTGGCTGGAATACTTGTGAGCTTCATTGTAATGGCTCACTTTTTGTTTCGCGATTTTCTCGACTTCACTTTTTTGGATCCTCCGGACCATGATAGACGGTTCCCGGAGGAAAACATTCTGACCAGCCTTAAGTATGTTCCAGTTTTGGGCGCAAGCTCCGCTTTCCTCACAGCTCTCTCAACAAGGCGATTATGGAATCTTTGAAGCGGAAATCCATGAGTGGGAGACTACGTACCGTCGAATAGATCTTGGCCTGCGTTTTGTGGGTGTTCGGCCATCAGATATGATGAGCTCTCAAATCATGCCGGGGTAGCCTGTTCTCTTCGCTTCTGTTCCCCCATTAAGTTGCGTTTACGAATAAATCGTGCGACAGGTGCAAAATGAGCAGAATAGAAGGCACCCAATTCGTTTTCTCCAATAAGCACGTAGGTGAAGTTGAGATTCTGCTGAGAAGTAGTATTGGGGCCCGCTCCAATCACATTCAAGATGTACAAAACTTCCATCTCGCGGTGTTGTTCCTTCAGCAGTTTTCCGGCTTTGTTCAGTCCGTGCACAGCTTTTGGGACATCGTTGTTCACCATATCTTGCAGAAGAACAAAGCACTCTCTGCCATCCGTGTTCTTGGTGACGAAAACACGGTCAACATACGGATGATTCGTCTTGCCTGGACTGTAGTACTTTTCCTTTGAAGGCGAAATCCCTGCTTGGGTGAGTTCGTATATCTTGCTCTTCCCTTCAGTCTTGAACAGTGAGTCGGTGCTAATGGTCAGATTGTCTGGATACTTGAGACCTCGGAACCACGCTGTTGACTTCTTTGTACCATCAGGAACAACATGAATTTGGACATCCCTTTTCAGAACTAGCAACTCTTCGGTCACCCGGAAGAGGTCGTAGCTTTCACCAAACTGTTCCAACGGTGTATGCATATACTCACAGTTGAACATTCTATACAGCGGGGCATTCACGTCAACTTCGTGGTGGTCCCTGTAGATTTTCTTCACGAGTCCGAAGGCACCACAAACTAAGAGAGGAGGCACAGCCCCCGTGTGATCCAGGAACTCTTCGACCTCATCGATCACTTCCCTTGTTGCCGAAACTCCTCTTTTGCATTCCGATACAATGAATTCTTTGATTCTTTTTGTGGTGGAGTCTGACACCCGTTGCTTCCATCGGTCGTAGACTTTGCCGACAATTGATTGTACAGTCGGGGAGTCGAACTCTCCTATCACCCGAGCCGCAAAAACCATAGACCGAAAGTGGAATCCCGCAGAAGAAATTAGCAATGGTATGAGGTCTTCCGCTGGGCGTCCTCTGCGATATTGTTGCAAGATTACTTCGGCTGTTTGTTCGTTTGGGTGCTCGGGTGTCCAGGTGATCGCAGCTCTTCCATTCGAAGTGAAAAAGGCTAAGTCTTTCAGAGATGTAATGAACACATAACAGGAACTCTCTTTTGTTTTGTAATATTCAGTGGCAACCGAGGCCAGCTCGGATATGATTTGGCGAACGTCGGGGGTGTTTACCATCGCCATGACTTCGTCCACTCCAACAAAGATCCCCGAATTTCCTGCAGCTTTGCCAGCTGATGCACAGCAAACTTTCGAAGGATCGGGTCATCGATGCTTAAGAGAGCTTGGCCGAATGTGTTCCGGAGGATTCTATCAGATGCAGCATGAGGGATCTGGGCTAAACAGAGCAGAATTCTCAACAAGACTGCGGCCTTTGGATCTTGTTTGTCGGCCTTCAACAATTGCTCCAGGTTGTAGGTGACATATATCCCTGGCATCCCAAGAAGCTTTGGAGCCTCCAAGAGAAGATGAGACTTTCCACAACCACTGCCAAGATGGATACCAACCACTCGACCAGCTCGATAATCTGCTCGATAATTCGCCTCAATACTCCCCCTTCCGTTTCTCTTCTGACAATGTCTGCGATACTTTTGTCGATCTCAAGACACTGCTTTTTCAGCAAATTTTTGAGATGCTTGGGTCCTTCCTCGCCTTGCCACGTCGATTTGATCTTTACAAGATTGCATATTTCATAATCCGGTTTTTCGGCAGTGTCAGCGACGAAGCTTGTGGCAACTTCCACCAACTTGGCCCAAGCCTTGTCAAACTGGCTGAATTCTATCAATTCCTTCAGTTGCAGCTCTTCGTTATCCACACGTCATTTCTTGCGTTTATTTTCCTTAAGATGATAGACTACCTTGTCGCTCAGTCAATGGAACATAGGCCATTGAATGTTGTTGTCATCGTACAATTCAGTGTATTGTCCTTCGAAGTCCACGCTGAGCTTCCTCAACCACGCCTCAAGATCAGTTTGATCATCGAGCACCCTCTTTTGCACATTATTTTCGTCTCGATTCTGGATTATCTTTGCTCCCCTCCATAGATGTTGTCGCCATTATGATTGTGTTCTTATCAAGGCTACTAGCTATTAATACCGTAAGGTCCATGTCTTGGCTGTCTTGGTGTGCTGTTCAGGTTTTGATTGAAGTATCAGTTTTGATTGGGGGCATTACAGTCAACACTCACTTAAGGTGGACCTCAATTTTGATAAGCCAGCTCCAGTCTGCGCACGTACTCTGATATGTTTCGCACAAATGTTTTGTATAAATTAGGGAATTTGGAATCTTCAACGTACAGAAATTTGCCGGATTCTTTTCAATTCATTCGAGCCATAAATTCCAGCTTATTTCGTTAAGTAATATCGTCTGACCACGCGCGTCGGCTATGGTATAACAGACGATTTCGCTCATGTTTTGGCCGTTTGGAGACCTTGGTGACGCGCTCTATAGTAAAACAGTACAATAACACGGTTCAGCCAATATTTGCATTCAAACGATTGAAAAAGCAAGATTCCGTTGTCGAAACAAACAACAAAGGAACAACCGACAACCATCGATCAATCAGATCCCCTGTTAGTGACCTCATTATCTCAGTTGCTGCTGGTAGTATGGCCCTGCAACCAAAGCTTTATCGCTTCCATATACTGTAAGGAAGAGAGTAGGCATTGGTTGTGGGGCCATACTACCAGCAGCCATCGAGATCTAAGGGCTTCGTGCAGCCGATCCGAAGAATCGTCACACCTGCTGTCGGGTCGATTCCGGATAACAGGTGGGTGAAATACCGGGCAAAGCTCGCCTACTACCCCTCGCCGATACTATTACACAACGATTGTGTATAGTCAAAAGGCGGATCGATCGAGCTATCAGCTATTCCAGCACGCCTTTAGCCTCAGATGTCGATTGTTGTTGTTCCCTCGATAGCACTAGTTGAAATAAATAAATAAATAAATAGAAAACATTAACAGCCGCGCGCTGGCTTATCACATTTGGGCGTCCACCTTAAGTTCCGTTTTCTTAAGTTCCATTACTCTCAAAGTTTCTCCCGGAAAAATGTAAAACTATGTTCAATTTCACACTTACGAAACCAATTTCGCAGCCTCTGAAGCTGTAAAAAAACGTTGTGTCACATGTCCGGACCCAAATAATGTACATCGTGCTCGCGACTCGGCAGCTCTAGAGGAGACCAATGGTCAAAAGAAGTGCAACAAGCGACGAACTCCGTCGAACGCCAATGACCAGAGAACACAAGGTGTCAATGACGAATTTGCCACCACGTCCAAAAAGAAGTTATCTCCCTTGTTAGAATTTTGTTAGAGTCTTCTACTTAAATAATTGCAGATTCGTTATTAAACGGACCGTTGAGTCACCTAACTATTAATACTGCCAACCTCTGGAATCAGTCCATAAGTTCCCATAAGTAATCAGGTTGCCAGACTTGAGAAAAGCAAGACAGCCAGATTTAAGCACTCGAGTACTGAGTATGCCAGCTGTAGTCCAAGACTTAGTGTCCGAGTCCATTCTCAAGAGTGCTGGTGATTTATTTATTGATTTTTATTGCCGCAAGTCTGGGAGCTGTCTCTTTGCAATTGCTAATTGCTACTAGTACTAATAGTCTAGCTAGGGGTCTGTCGTCTGTCGCCCCGAAACATTCTTGCAGCACCTTGAAGAGTATGTGAACATGATGTATGTATGTGAACAGTCAACAGGTATTTAATAATTTCGTGGCAGCCATAGACTTTGTGTGGAGCACTACTTTACACCGCCAAGGAGAAAGTGGGACTTATTTTTTGTTCAAAGGCTTAAAGAAAAGAAGTGTTTCGCTGACACGTATTTGGAAAGCTAGTCGAAATCGTACCGTAAAATGCATACATCATACTGTACATCGTCATAAGAAAAGAACCTTCCAGATAGATCATTTCGAAAGGGAAATCCAAGACTTAATTAGCTGTTCAAAAACGGGAACGGAGGACTGTCGATTGTGGATTTGCTGTTCTCTGTTGACAAAACCCGTAAAGAGTAGATTTATTGAAAAGAAGTCCGAAGTGCTCGAATCTTGAAAGCAAAAGCCTCATTACTTAAGTTATTCTATCAGAATCTTGGAAACCTTCATTTTCCCTTATCAAATAAATGGTTTAAGAGGGGATTCCTCTTCACCACGTCAGCGACATCCTCTGCAGCAACAATTTTGCGGAACATGAAAAGTCAAAAAGGCAGCAGGGACGCCGAGCCGTACACAGTGTACTGTTCGATGGTCATCATGGTGCAATTCTGCAGTACTGCTACTAGCTAGTACATGTAGCTAGCTACACTTGAGAGGGGTGTCAGGCAAGTTGGTGGTTGGAGGCACTCGGGGTACAACTGCAGCAGTACACTCCAACAACAAACATCCCTCAATCACAGAGCCCAATTGCTGGCTCCAGCAGCTGCCCAGTTTCTACCGGTACTGGCTAGCTAGTCTTTAGCTAGTACTATTTAGCCACTATGTGCCCAGGAGATGATTTCCAACTACTATTAATAGGAAGGTTGCTATTGGGGCTTGGAGGTTGATTTGACCCGCACCGCACTCACGCTGCAGCGCTGCAGTTCACAGCTTGTTGGTAGACCCAAAAAGCCAACAAGTGAAAGGAGGTGCACCACCTGTGCAAACGACAGCAAACGTAACATTTTCATAGTTTCATTAGGGTTGCTAGTCAGCAGGAGGCAGCATAAAGTGGAATGGGAATCTGCATACAGCGTACATGTGTGTGACTATCTGAAATTGATTTGATTGAATCGAATCATTCGCCTGGATCAATTTCTGAATTTGGTTAGTCATTCGATTGTGATTGGAGAGATTCATTCATCATTTGCACCATTTTCCACTTTTAATAAGAAACGCTCATTTCATTGAAAAGATGTAGAATGGACGAAATCTCTACCTCTGAAAGTTCAGAAAGCAACCCTCTAAACATTTAGAGGTTGGTGTCTGATTTGACAACAGGAAGTGTGCTGAATTATCAGCAAAGCTTCGAATTTTAGGTACGTTATCTACAAGTAAAAGTGCAGAGGCTTTCTGGCGAATTATTTGAACAGTATGCTTGTGGCCTGATTTCCCCCTTGCTGGTTCAACAGCTATCTAGCCACCGGTAGCTAGCTAGATGCTAGGCTGCTTGTTTCCACTTAAGTTACGGCAGAACAATAACAGGGGGCCACTGAGTAGCGGTACATGGCATCAGAGATACCGGCATGCACTGAACCTTGGGGTAAGAGAAAGGAAAAGTGCTGAGTGGAAATAGACTTACCATTGCCAAGGAAAGTTCTATGATAGCTGCATTAGCAAGACTTTGTGCTGTTGCTACCGGTCAGCTTGTTGCTGCCAGCAAGCCTGAGCCGTGGTTTGGCCGCCAATGCAGTTGCACGACCACAGACCGGTACTAATATCCCCATCGCTGCTCCCGACAAACAATTCAAATTGCTCCAACAGCTCTGCGAACCCGCGATTTTGGGGTCCAGCCTTTGGCGGCTGGATGAGCCAACAACAACCGCGCTGCTTCTCAACGGACTCCTTGCAGATTTGCGTCCCAGATGACAAACCTAATCCCACGACCCTAAACGCGGGAATCGCCCAACGAGCCCGCCAATCTTGGCATCGCCAGCCGGCCACAACGGAACCAACCAACCCAATCACAACAAAATCGATGAATGGGAAAGGACGTTAGTTTCAAGTCACATTTTCCCGACTAACGAGAAAGCAACCACATCAACCAAGAACACTTGCAGCCATGTGCAAAGTAACAAACGCTCCCCTCAAGCCCAGAAAGGCTGTTGCGGCCCCAAAGACTCCAAGGAAAGTTCGATTCGGCTATGTTCAGGCCAAGGTGTTCCATCAGCGCTTGTCGAGCGCGGAAAAGAAATCAATATGGTACTGTGGGAAAGACTACAAAGCGATGAACAAGCAAGTCCATCGGGATCTGAGAAAAGAGCTGTGTTATGGATTTGATCCCAACGATATCGAGCGAACGTGGCGGGGTCTGGAACACATCAGGGAAGGCGTTCCAAACGTCAAGTTGGAAAGGCGCAGAAACTTTGTTCGATCATTGCTGCACCTCCACAAGAAACAGGGCGTCCGAGACCCTGAACAACTTGGCGCGATTGCAGCTGCACACAGTAGCATCGACCAAATACGAGCCCAGCAGTTTGCTGACTACGACGCATACGAAGCATCGTGTGTTTACTACGAGAAGCGATGCTACACTTGGTGTCCCATAGAGTCAACAGCCGAAGACTACAAGGAATTTTGCAACATCCCAAGGACCAAAAGTTTCAAGCCCAATCGAACCGTTTTGACGGCTCGTGCTATCTAGACCTTTGGGATTTGTACAACATATGTTGGGGACCATGCCATTCAAGAAACTTTTGCTGGCTTTGTATATATCACACAGGTAAACTATCCAAACAGGTACTCTATTTGTAGTAACACCAGTAGCCCCTCCCTCCAAATCACAACGTTGGACAAGCCCACCACCTATTATAGTTAGCAAATAGATTCTGGGTACTACATGCGGTTGTTTGATTCCAAACGCTGCGGGAGTATCATTTTGCGAAGGTCCGCCGCCGTACCATCCAACCCGTCGCACAGACACCAGCATTGGAATTTGTCTACTACTGGTACCGTAGCTGGTGCATTTGCGTCTAGCTCCTGCTTAGTTGGTTCGATGCAGTCAACAAGGGTTGCTTGGTTAACTTGCCTTGACAAGGTTGGATAACATGGTGCTACCTTCCTGCTGACATAAAATTTGCCCAGCAGCAACAGTTGTCGCGGCAGTCTCTCGAAGCTGTATGCCGTACTGTCCAGGTCAAGCCAAGCCAATACCGGCATTCCTTCTGGGTAATAGTAGTTCCATTTACCGTTGGCAATGATTGTTGGTTGTAGTTGTTGGCGCCTTTGTCTTGGGATTGGACAAAATATCATCTCTTGGAGGTGGTGTCTTTAACGGCTAACTGGGAAAATTGTCGTGAAACGTCTGAATTCGTGCTTGAAGGACGATCGAATATTCGACCTTCTGCTCAACCAACCAATGACACGCTCAATGCCATCGGTTGAAAGCTGGCTACAGATAGCTATTAAAAAGAACCGGAAGGCAGAACTAGACTACGATAGCTTGAAGACGAGTAATCATGTGTGCAAAAATTCTTGCTATTGTTTATGAATAAATATGAAGGTTTGCTGATTGCAAATGGTGCCCGGTTCTTAAAATTCTGCTTGTGTTGTTCGAAGACTGCGGATACAGCGTTGCAAAGCCCCGGAAGTGTTTCTTATGAAGGTGTGAGTGAGTGTGCGCCAAGGAAATCGAGGAACGACTTCTTCTCTTCCTAGTGATTCTAGGCGATGGGAGGTACGATGATCCTTTCCCCGCGACGTGCCCCAATGGTCGCCTTGGGTACATTGTCAAACTCTTCAAATGCCTCCATTGCCATGACATCGCGGTGGGGCTGAAACAATCTCGATTCGTTGTGCACCTTGTAGGCTTCGTAAGCATCATAATCGGCAATGTACTGTGCACGGCTTTGGTCGTGTCCACTGAGAGAAAGAGCCAGCGAGCGTAGTTCGTCCGAATTCGTAACCTTCATGTTTCTGTGCGTGTGAAGAAAGTAGTCCACAAAGTAGCGACGGCGATGTCTTTTGGAATGCATTGGACCGCTCAGCAGAGACTCTAGTCCACGGACGCAGAGGTCCTCACTTGGTTTTCTGTCCATATATTGATGTTTGCTTCTGTGCATGGCCACAGAGCCACGCAGGTCGGCTTGGATATCGGACTGAATCCTTTTGTAGTCTTCGGCTTTGTACCAAACCCTGCTCCTCTCCTTTTCACTCATGTTGGCGTTGTACAAGCGGCAGGTATTACGACCAAAGCTCACACCTTGCTTTCTTCGAATCCTCTTTTTCAATGGAAGAGTGGAACCTCCGTCTTGACGTCTCTTGTGCATCATCGTTTCTTTCAGTTTTGGCTAGCGAGGCAGCAACAACAGTAATAATAATATAGAAATGGAAAGGCCAACTTTAGTATGAGAATATTGTTGTTGTTGTGAGCTTTTGAAATGGCATTTGTGTTGCTTTCGTGTGTTCCGACCGTGCATGCAGGCTTCCTTTACCACGAATGCTCTTTGCACAAATTTTTGCCAAATGCGTTGCGAGGGACAAAATCCTCGAAGAGTCTCCTTCCCGTGGGAGTGTGCTGTTCAGCAGGGCTCACACGAATGATTCAATCCCAATCGCCAAGGAGCGCTGGGAAGAGATGGTGGATCCATTGTGTACGATCGTATTTAAAATGGTACCGGTACAGTACTGGTGACGGAAGCGGTACATGAAGCAACTCCGCGCACCTACAAACGGAGCTCGGTTCCGTGTTGTTCTGGTTTTGCTTGAATTCGGCAAGAAGACCAAACTGTTCCCCGCTGGTTCACAGTTACGCCAATCGCTGAATGATCGCAATTGGAGCATGGACACGGCTTCGGCGTGTCTTTCGACATCAACGCTTGGATACGGTAGCTTCAAGGGTTCTCGGTCGGTTACTCCCGTAACCACTCTTTTCTGGTGAATTCCCGAAGGAAAACGGGCCACTGGTGGGGAACCAGGATCTCTACAGCCAGGTGATGCTAGGTATCTGTTCCTTCGGAATTGTGCAGCCCCAATCCTCGCTCTGTTTTCCTTCCTGTACAATAATGATATGCTCAACTGCAACAGTATGACGGGTAGTACCGATACGTTGATGGTCAGCCAATGCCACCGTGCAGCAAGCACAGAGGTATAAAGCGAGCGACCAGTGATCTAACGTTAGTGTCTAGAGGTAGAACTCAACAATTTTCGATATGATGACCTTGTGTTGGTGCGCAACATGCCCTGTTGGCTGTGCTTATTAGTTAGGGTCATGGACTGGCAGCAAAAATTCACCCCTTGTACGAGACCGATGATCACGTCGAACTTCTAGGATCGGTCGCCAGATGGCGTGGGTATTCGATGTAATGGGCAGTCTCATCTGCTACATCTTTCCCACAAAGAGACTCCACCACATGAAAGGCCATGTCTATGCCCGCCGCGACACCAGCGGACGAAATGATCTCGTCATCGACCCAACGCAGCGTCTTCTCAACTTCGACTTTTGGGTACGATTGTTGGAGCAGCTCCAGAGCTGCCCAATGCGTTGTGGCTCTTCGACCGTCCAATAGTCCAGCTTTTGCCAGCAGCAGGGCGCCCGTGCAAACAGACGTAACCAGCTTGGCAGTGTGCGCCATTTTTTGAATCCACGTGATCGTTGTATCATCCTCAACCAACGGACGGGTACCAAAGCCACCAGGAACAACCAAGACATCAATGTTGGGCACATCTTCAAAACTAAAATCAGCCAAGACTTTTAGGCCTCCTGTTGCCAGGATTGGCGTGGTAGATGCAGCCTTGGCGACAGTAAACACTCGAAAGGGGGCAGAATCTTCAGTGCGCCGAGAGGCTGAACCTGGCTCTGTCCGAGTTCGAGAAAAGACCTCGAACGGGCCGGTGAAGTCCAACACTTCGACATTCTCAAAGATCAGGATGCCAACGTTAAGTTTTTCGGTGGCTTCGGCTCTGGAGGACATTCTGGCATTTCAATTTTCAATTTTCTGTTGTTGTGAGAATGTACGATAGCGGTGCCGTGTGCTTGGTTGCGCCAAAAGAAAATCAATCGTGCGTCCTTGTTCCGAGAAGATCCAGAGGAGGTCTTGATCCCAACCTCCCCGTGTGGTGGGTCTGATGTCGGCTTGATCCAAGATGCATCTTGTAGTAGCAAGCATTAGGGCTACCTGCAACAACCAAAAACATTACCAGATATTTTAGCTCTACATATTAGAACAAGCTCGCGATGATACGTGAAGCAGAAGTTTCGTGCTTGTCAAGAGGATCGACTTCACTCTGCGGGACAGTCGGGAGCGACAGCAAGGATTCATCATCTGTCATTGCTGCCATTTCTTCTTCATCTGGCTCCTTCAGCTCGCTTAGAAGCTCCTCTTCGTCAAAGTCTGCTATCATTCCTCCCTGGCCTGCCGCAGCCAACACTTCACCCACTTTCTCATCTGTAAAGTCGCTGATTCGTACACCTTTCTGCACAGATGACACCGCATCCGATGCCTCCTTCATAATCATTCCCACTTCACGAGATTCAACAGCCGATTCCAACATGATGATTTGTGTTTCCATGTTGAAGACGGTGCTCTTGATAACGTCTATGGTTTGGTTAAGACGTTTCTTCTTGGCCAAACAATACAGAGCTCCTTTGCGGTCTCCATTTTTGAGCCTCCTCTTGGCTTCTTGACGAAGCAAAGCACGCTCCTTACTGCCCTCCAACCTTTCCAGCCGCGCCTGCTGAAGTCGAATCGTGTCTTCCAATAGTTGCACTGTCTTGGCTTCCTGAGGTGTGAGTTTGGATCTATAAGATCCCTCTACGTAGGGTTCTTCGTCTCGCTCTGTCTCCACCACTTGTAGCGACGTTGTGGAACCCATTGTGATTTCATATCCTTCCGAAGTTGGCTCCTTGGGTTGCGGTGGTAGTGGATTGTTTGGCATGATCTTTTTGCTGCTGGAGGCTTTCTTTGGCGAAAGCTTTTGAAAGAGCTTCATTGTGGATTTGAGAGGCGCCGTCGATTTGATCTTGAGAGTTTTTGCCTCCTTTCCAACCGAGTGAGACCCAGGAACCGCGCTGGAAGCATTTCTCTTGCCTTCAGGTGTGTTGGTTTCTGCAGTGTTTGTTGTTGTTGGCTTGGTAGAATCGGAATCTTCCTTGACTGGAGTTGCCCCAGTAGCAGGCACACCACGCTGCCACCAGGGTTTTTGCGAGTTCGTTTCTGCATTGGCGGAAGTGTCCCACCACGAGGCCTTTTGTTCCGATGTTTGGGTGCCCATCTGTTGATTGCTAGTAGCCATAGTTGTAGTACTCGGAGTATTGGACTGTCCTTGACTGGCCACCGACCTGCTGGATGTCTTTTTTGGTGCCTGCTGCAAGAGCTTCTTTGTCGACTGCTGTTCCAAGCTATACACAGTTGCTTGGATTGATGGTTTTTCTGTCTTTTTCTGGGCAGGCGCAATATTCTTGGATGATGTGACTTGTCTTTTGCTATTGGATGTCTTTGTCATTTTGGGCTTTTGTGTCGGCGCCGGCGGAAAGTCCAGAAGAGACAAGCCGCTCTCCACACCAGCAGAAGCGACTGTCAACTTTGGCTTCTTTTTCGGTGTGACTTTTCGTTTCGTGCTCTTGGGCTCTGACTTCTTGGGAGCACTAATAGTAGGCTCTGATTTCTTTGGCGGCGCAGTGGTAATTTCTTGAGGGGGTGCTTCCTTCACATTTTTGTTGCCAGGCTTCTGATATTTGTACCCTTCCACAGATGCTTGATGCAATGGAGCCTTTGGTTCTTTCTTGATAGGTTTTCTTTCTTGCTCTTGTTGTTGCGATGGTTTGGTTTTTGTGTTCAAAAGTTTCAACTTTTCAAGAGCCCGTTGTTCCAATTTTTGTTTTCCCTCCTTTTGTTTTTGGAGTTTCTCCATGAATCTCTGTGCCACGAGTTCTTCTCGCTGTTGGCGTAGAATATCGGCATGACGTTGCTTCTTGGAAAGTTCTGCTTGTCGTTTTCGATCTTCTTCTTGTTTGCGAGCTTGATCTTCTCGTTGTTTTCTTTCTTGGGCTTGTCGGCGCAATTTTTCCTTGAGTCGTTCTTCGGCGTCCATGCGGGTGGCGACAAGTTCCATCTTTTGGAGGACTTGGTCTACTTGTCGAGAGTTCTTGACCTTCTGCATCTTGTTTTGACGCTGGTAATTGCTGTGCTTGGGAAGTCCTTCTAGGGAAAACGTGGCAAAGCGAAGACCAAAGACGTAGGCATCGTCGAGGCGTCGTTCGTCCAATGCGAGTTGAAAGGCCGTCACCAGGCGATCCGCCATGGCGTAGTACTTTTCAATCGGGTACGAATCCAGTACATGAAGTAGCGCCTTGCCACTTTCGGCTTCTACTTCTTTCAGATGTTTTCTCCTGGCAGCGCTCGCGGCATGATCATTGTTGTTGTTCTTGGAGGAAGAAGTTGTCATGGTGTCCACAACACATTATTCGAATTGGGATTGTGGTTCTGACCTTTGGAAGAGGCTGAGCATCACAAAACGGAAGCTTCTGGAGTCGTGAGCAGTCCCTTAAAGGGACTTGCAAGTCATGCCTTTTACCAGTCACGAATCCAACATTGTAACGGCTACCAACTGTCCGTCGTCCGTTATAGGTACCCAACATCGGACATCGGACGTCATTTTCATCTGGTGTGGGTGTCTTTTGTCTCCTTGGCAGATGTTTTCCATCACTTTGATGGTTCCATCACTAAAGATTGTTCTCTGGAGACCCCAAGGAACATCTACATGTATGGAGACGCAACAGAGGTCATTATCATTTATTTTTTGCATTATTTGAACAGATCCATCCGCCATCACCATGAAGATCTCTCTTTTCCTGTTGGTTTTGTTGGGCACTGCACAGGCCTTTGTGCCTCTTGCTCGTGTTCCCACGACAACAAGTAGTACCATTGTGCAATCCACCTTTACCCCCAACGACTTTGCCGATCAACTCAGTTTGCTGGACAAGTTGAATTCCGCCAAAAGGGACGGAGAACCTCGCATTGAGAGCATTTTGGAACCCAGCTACACTGTAGCGTTCGCAACGGCGGCTGCTGGACCTCTCATCTCTCTCATCTATGGTGGTGAGTTATTCGTTTGTTAGTTTGTCGGCTGCATGGATGTTGACAAGCGAAATATGGGGTGTTGATTGCTTCCGTCTAACATGTCCTTTTGTCGATGCTATTACTGTTCCATGTCTGTGGTTCTTGTATCAGGTTCCTTGGTGGGTACCATTGGCAACTGTGTGCATGTATTGCTGGCCACTCTCTTTTGGGTTCAAACACTCCGTGTTCGCTGTGCCTTTGAAGAAGACGGATTTGAATTCTACAATCTCAAGGTATGGTGATATAGATACCTTCACAAGTTTAAAAAGTGTGTTGCGTCTGCTTTGGTTCCTCACTATGATACAAACCCGTTCCTGATCATCATGACACAGGGAGATATGGATCTGACCAAAAAAGCTGCCAAGTTGACCCGCAAGCCAGGAAACTTTGTCACCAAAACCGAAAACAAGTGGGTGTACGACAAGGTCACTGGGTACCAATTCTATCCATCCATTCAATATCCCCTGATTTGCTACCTCAAGGAAACACAAACACCTGAACGCTACAATATCCCCGGAGAACAGCCTCACTTCTTTCCTGCGCTATTTGTGGCTGAACAGTTCAAGGATGAGATGGATAAGAGAGGAGTGGACTACGGAGTCTAACTATAATAGCTACTGGTAATTGAAAACAACTAAGTAAATTACTACGATGAGTACAAGCAACTACTTTCAATCCAGCCAGCTATAGTTACAAAAGGAATTATCGATTGGTAGCCGACATGTTTGAAACTCTGCATAAGCAGGTTCCACATATCACTCTCAACTTAGGTTGGGTACGCTCCCTCACCTCACCTTCAGTCGCTACGCGAAATCAAGTTGTTCCACTTTTTGGAACTGCATTTTTTGAATGCTTCCTCGTAGGCTCTAAGCAATACGGTAGATTGCAATAATTTCGTGTGTCTTTTGCAATAGAGAAGAGTAGGACCCAGCTTTATGTGCATGTTACTCCGGGTGTGGGCTCGGAGATGCTGTGTTGGTCCTTTTAGAATGCCTTAGGGTTCCTTTCAGCTTTTCTGGCTTTTTATGCACTGCAACGGCCAGCCATGAACACAAAAAGGCCAGCGAGGATTTCGCGATCACTGCGGCACTGGTCCTTTTCTTTCCGCATCGTTGCGTCTTTGTCTTTATTGCACTAGCTAGCTAGTTTGCTTGTGGTTGAACTGCGTACGCTACGCAGCAACCGTCCCCCTTCATCATACCTTCCCCAAGTCGAAATAGCGATTGTTGTGGTGTCGCGAGCAGTTCTCACTATTTTTTTGCAAGCGGCCGCTATCAACCACTCCAATCCACAATGACCACCAGAGAACCGTCGAATCCTTCCTTGGCCATACCAACACTGGGTGTGGATCACGTTGAAGTGGACGGATCAGCTTCTGATCTTCCCGCTTCCAAGTTTAGTCCGATACCCATTGTCATGTCTCGCGGTGATACCGGCAGTAGCATGGGTAGTTACAACAGCAGTCATTCAGAAACAAGGGAAGCGTGTCAGCTGCAGACAGATAGTCTCGAAACGCCGTCTGGAAATTCGTCGGCAGATTCCAACGACGATGACCAAGGTAGAATTGTACTGCAAGCCAACCACCAGCACCGATTATCAACCCGCAGGCTCAAGGACGACAATGGCAACACTAGCAGCAGCCACAGCAATGGTCCCACTGGAGACCCTCGAGCAAGTGACAATTCCCTTGGTGGTGGTGGTAGTAGTAGCAGCAGTGATGGAAATAATGAGGCTGGCAAATCATTGCTGGCTCCTCTCACAAATGCCTGGGGATGGATCCAGAAACAAAAGGAAAAACACAGAGAACAGCATTTGAAACAATTGGCAGAAGAACAAATGCAAAAATTAAAACAGGTCCAAAAGACGGATCCCAGTGTCAACTTTTCAGTGGCCGTAGACGACTCCAGTGATGGATATTCCGACAAGATCGGCTGCGCAACTCCTCAGCACTACCCCGATGGAGACTCCTCTAACCGAGACGACGATGAGGACGACATTTCCTGGATTCCACCGGTGCGATGCGTCGAAGAACAGGTCAATATAGATGTTCCTCCCAGTCCACGCAGTTCCCGCTCTGGAGAGCCTCTTTCCTCGGATCCGACAAAGCCAGTCCCCTTTTTGCTCAATCCAGCACAAATGCACGACATTGCCCGCCATGTGCTGCCCAAGGGCATTGCCTTTTGTCGATGGAGACGACTCTACAGTTTAACCCGCGACGGTGATTCCTTTTTCCAATGCCTTCGTCTCTGTGGTTCCGAGCCAAAAACACTCATGGTCATCAAAACAACCCGCGGCGCAATCTTTGGAGGATATGCCGATTCCTTGTGGGAGATTCAATCGCATCAAAATGGAAACTTTCATGGCAGTGCACAGGCATGCTTGTTTTCCTTTGCCATACTTCCAACCGCAAATGATGCAACAGCAACAACAACAATCAATGGCCAACAACCACTCAAGACAGACACCAATCTTCGAGTATTCCATTGGACGGGCGCAAATCGCTACATTCAATTCACAGATAAGAGTGAGCATCGACGAATGTTGGCATTTGGGGGAGGAGGACAAGAAGGTTCCTTTGGATTGTGCGTTGAACAAGACTTTCAACTCGGAAGTACTGGACATTGTGACACATTTGACAATCTGCCACTCTGCGACCAGGAAAACTTTAACATCCTAGATATGGAAATCTGGGGATTCCTGACCGGGCAGTTTTAACGAAAAATACGCCCCGAGAGACTTCTCGGGAACGTCTAACTCGGTTGTTTTGTTTTCGAAGAAGAAAGTGCTAGCTATGAAAGTAACAGATGGGCGATTGCTATCACATACAATGTATTATCGAGGTGGTAGTCGAGGAGATTGCAACAAACACGGGTTGGAAATGTCAGCAGAACCGGAGAAATTTCTGAACCAAGCGATTCGTTGCGACGACTGCTTTACATGGCGGTTGTTTGGACGACAAAAGAACGAAAGTCTCAGATTCTCTCGGCTTGACATGCCAAACGACAAAAGGGAATCGATGGGTTGGCCAAGCTGGCCTCCAACTCCTTGCTTTTTGGAGCTTCAATCCACCGTACATGTACCGGTAAAGTGGAGCAAAGCCCCCCATCATGCAGCAAAACAAATCGTTGAAGTATCTTGTGCATATCACTCCTCGGTTATCATGTACATGCAATCATGTAGTTGAGATCAAAGAGCCACTGGCTAGCTAGCTAAACAGACTTCAAGGGCAACCATTTCACCTGGACTTGTTTGCATGCTCCCACAAAGCTAGCTAGAGCTCGCTCGCTTCCATAGCCATCATAGCTATGATACAGTGCGATAGCTACCCAACTTACATTCCAGACTGAAGCAACGGTGCGGTAGCTAGCTACAGTACTACTAGCTGGTACCGGTAGAGAGCACCTCAGCACCGCCCCTGCCAAGATCACGTACCGGTAAAGGTCAAGTACCACACGCGAGCCCATACCCCGACTGTTGTCTTGGTTAAAGGTTTGTTGGTGAAAAGCACGCGCCAGGCACGACACAATGTCGTCATTCCGAACTCAATCTGGACCTTCACACCGTTTTTTTAAAATTTTGAATTCTGAATTTCTCCCTTAAGTTTTAATTTCTCTCTTTTTTGTCACGCCATCATCAATCCTCCTTTATTTCTTCAACTCCACCATAAATTGGTCCTTTAATCCCTAAATGATTCGCCTTCTAATGTTTATAATAATATTTAACTCCCTTATAATCCACCTCTAAATCCTTCCATAACAATTCGAAAACTTACCTAAATGTCAAAATCCTCATCCAAAATGAAATTTCCAAATCGTTGAACCGTCCTGGCGTGGTTGCAGGTATCTTTTCGTGACACACACGCAAGAGTCAACCTGGATTCGCTTCCATCGGCTGCTCAACTATGCAAGGATATGGTTTACCGCTGCTAAAATAATAATCAGACCAAGCTGTAATTGATTGGTTTACTCTATTGCATTTGTTTTTGAGACAACACTCTCCTCGACTCTGACTCACCTAGTTCTGTTTCGAGCCTCACTTTTTTTGCCAGTGCACCACAAGCACCAGAGGATATTTATTTTGCCAACAAACAATTTTGATTCGTCTTTGTTTCCACCATGGTTGCTGATAGTGAGAATGTAGGGATCGCCTTTGCCTTGGTGATCGCCGCTGGGGCCTCGACAGCTTTGGGGGCGTCGGTCGTTTTCTTCCCATCTTTGGTCAAGTTGGCGTCGAAGAAAACTCTAGCTGGAGGGCTTGGATTGTCGGCCGGAGTAATGACATATGGTAGGTGAAATTTCAATCAATCATGACTTGGATATCCTTTACAACACTCATATAACGTTTGTTTGGTTCCTGATGGTACAGTCTCGTTTGTGGAGATCTTTGCGAAGTCTGTGTTATCCTTTGGAGTTGATGGAGCCGGCTTGGATGAGAACAAGGCCTACGGTTATGCTACCATTTGTTTCTTTGCAGGAGTGGTTTGCATGGTGGTACGTTGCGATATGCTGCCAGATAATGATGTTTTGTCCTGGAGTAGACGTATCTTGCATGGGACGTCAATCCCAAGCGACATTTTCATTTCTCATCTTGGATTTCTCTACCTGTTCAGCTGCTGAACTTACTGGTGCACCATCTTCTGGGTTTTCATCACGGTCACTTCGACGATCATCAAAACCACAACACGCAAGAAGTGAGTGGAAGCGACAATGAGGAAATCCAGCCAGGTGAGAAAAAAGGAGAAGAAGACGGCCCTCTACCCCCTTGTTGCACCACGGATCCGGGTGCCCAAATTGATCGCCTCCAACAAATGGCAGCAGTCATGGAAGCAAAGGAACTGGATGAAAACGAACAGAAACAAGAAATTGATGAAGCCAGGGAGGATAAAGCTGATGTGGTTGCTGCCGATGATGAAAATAAGGAAGAAACCAAAGCGGAAATACAAAGTGAACATGACGAAGCAGCAGAAGCCGAAGCTGGAGCTTTGAGAATCTCCAAAAGAGAAAGCCAGAAACTCTCCCACATGAGCTTGAATACAGCAGTTGCCATTGCATTGCACAATTTTCCAGAGGGATTGGCTACATTTGTTGCTACATTGGAGGATCCAAAAGTAGGTGCTGTGCTGGCAATCGCCATTGCCATTCACAACGTCCCAGAAGGACTCTGTGTGGCTATGCCTGTGTATTACGCCACTGGCAGTCGCTGGCGTGCCTTTGGATGGGCACTATTGTCTGGAATCTCAGAGCCCATTGCTGCATTCTTTGGTTGGCTGGTTCTGGCCAATTCTTTCTCGGATACTCTGTATGCCATTCTCTTTGGAATGGTGGCAGGGATGATGGTGATTATCTCCGTTCGTGAATTGCTTCCCACGGCGCATCGTTATGGTAAGTTATGCTAAGGATGAACCTGCACAGGCATGGGGTTTGACTGACACTCCTAACCTCTCATGCTTCTATCTTTCCAACTTTACATCTCCAGACCCCGAGGACAGCGTTGTCACAAACATGTACATTTTGGGGATGGCCATAATGGCATTGTCCCTTGTCTTATTCATACTTTAGGGAGTTGGTTCTAGACATTGATTCGTGGAAGCAACTGCGGCTGGTTGCCAGCCTAAAAACGTGCTACCTTTTTAAAGAAAGCTACCTACTAGAGTAATCACTGAAACTGCTAGCTACTGTAGTATCCTAGCTAGCTGGCCAGACCACTAAATCGATTCAACCCTTTTCTTGACCCACGCAAACACAGGGTTGCTATTGCTGGCCGAAAATGGAAACTGGAGTTGCGTTGATGCCACTTACTCTGATGTTATGTGACAGTGGAACTATCGTCCTGCTGGGTCAGATTTGGGGAGGTGGAGATTTCTTCTTTTCTGTAACGTTGCAGCGCTTCCGATGTTGCGAGAGTGGTACGTTAAGGTATCCAATGAGGCTGCGCCTGCGCGCTAGTTCCCTCCAACCTAAACTTGAAACATGCTGTCAAGCTGTCAACCGAAAACATCTTGCAAGTATTGGTAACGCTGCTCATCTTCTTGAAGGTCCCACATGATCTCAGTCCTATCTATACTATCGCTTATTCCATCGGTCGTGTTGACCATCATACCGGTATCCTTCTGGTTTCGAGCAAAGTAGGCATCCGACAAGCAAGTAGAAGCATCGCCAGGGTCCTCCATCAGTCCATCGAGCTACCCAAATCTTTGTTATCTGGCCCATCTCTAGCCGAATCAATTTTACCGTTAGACGAACTTGAGCGTGACAATGGCGGCCTCCAGATTTGATCTATCCTATAGGAAATCCAGCATTGAAGAGCCCACTTCTCCCACTACAAGCATACTCTGCCCAATAAGACGAGATCTGATTGAAGATGAAGAACCCAGTGATAGTTACTCTTTCTTGGCGTGCTTGTCGCCGTCTGGATCCTCGCTGCACGAAGCCCTCCTGGAAAAGGCAAAGACCACAGAAACTGCTTATGATACAACCACCACGGTCTTGGTACAGGACGGCGAGAGTCCCAAGTGTGCGAGCTTAGCTAGCCTTACCAACCTCGCGGTGGAAGAAAACAAAGTGGAGCTCTATACCCGAAACGACACCGCCAGCACACAAGACTCCAACGAAGAGAATCCGCCATACACAGACACCAGCTTGGATGCTGCATCGGTTGGGCTCATGGCGTCTGGATTGGCATGGGTCCGTCGTCGGAAGAGCAACCGTTACGGGGGCAGTCGATACCCGATCGATCGGAAATTGCAGCAGAGACAAGAAGAGATTGATGCCTCCACAGAGCTTCTCCAAAGTTCTAGCAAAGATCCATCTCCGGGCACACCGCTGCGCCGTGCTGTCTCTTGCCCCGACGGCCATCAGGAGCTAGAAATCAAGTCTTGTCCAACTTCTCCTTCCTTTATGACGCATGCTTCCGCCAGTCCTCTCTTCTCTTTGGCTAAGATTCCATTGGCAAGCAATAGCACCATCAACAACACCAGCAAAAGTGTGGCCTCTTCACCCATGAAGGCAGAACTGGCTCCGCGATTGAACCCAGTGAATAACATTTATTCCATTTCAAGTCTATTGACAGGCAGTAGACAAAGCAACGCCTTGCCGGAAGACACACAGAATGATTCCCCTGGAGGTCACGTTGCATTTCTTCAACCCGAATCCAAGGAAGAAGAGGAAACATCTATCGCACCAGCTTCTGTTGTCCCATCGCTGGGATACTTTTGTCAGGACGACTCTTTGAAGCCAAAGGGCAATGACAAATCCCCAACACGTTCGGCACTAGCGAGAGTGTTCTCTCGCATTGGCTCAGAGTTCACGGATCAAGACCTAGATGAAGTTTCCACCGACGAGGAAGAAGACATCATCTCGGAAAGCGAAAGCGAAGAGGATATTCATGGAGTTGCCTGGATCCCTCAGGTACGGACTGTCGCCGAGAGTACAGCTCGGGTAAACTCTTGCATCCTGACACCACTCCAGATGCATCAGATCGCCCGTCATGTGCTACCCAAGGGCATTGCTGCCTGTCAGTGGAAATGCATCTATTCGTTGGCTCGAGATGGCGACTCTTTTGACGTATGTTTGCACTATGCGAGAAACGATAGAAAGACATTGCTCGTGGTGCGGACAACAAGGGGCGCGGTTTTCGGGGGTTATGCGGGCGAAACTTGGACAAGAAATGGAGAAGCACACTACTATGGCAACAATGAAACTTGCTTGTTTACCTTTGAAGAAAAGAAGCCAGACACACTACCACCAACGGAACCCGAAGTGGTACTTCCTGAAGACCCGCCAAAGGAGGCAACGACCTGCGAGCAAGGAGGCAGCAATGGACGACACAAGGACACAGCAGACGGGAACAGTCCTACACGCGAAGAACGCGAGAATATTCGGCCCCTGGAAAGCGACGTGAAGGTAACGCTTACTCCAACACGCTACGAGAGGTTAACACGAAGTGGAACCTTTCCAGTGACAAAGGATGGAAACCTACCTGTGACCAGGGCAAGATCCACGATTGCTGCGCCGCTGTCTCCGCCTCTTGTGCATCGTCCCAAAAAGTCTCTTGTGGATGATGACGAAGACAGTTACGAAGCCAGCCTTCCGCCTATCCGCGTGTACAAGTACAAGGGAGTCAATCGTTACATTCAATACTGCGATGCCAATCGCAAAATGCTCGCTTTTGGGGGTGGTGGTGTGGAGGGTTCCTTTGGGCTTTGTGTGCAGCGAGAGTTTCAACTGGGAAGTACTGGGCACTGCGATACTTTTGACAATGAGCCCCTTTGTGAGCAGGAAAGCTTCAAGATAGTGGATGTGGAACTCTGGGGTTTCCTGACTGGTCAATTCTAAGATGGATGCATACGAAGCGGTCCGGGTGAGGGGTTGACTGGATGCGCAGGATGAGAATCCAACTGTATTTTGTCTGTCATCTTTCCTGCGACCAATTATTACTAATTTAATCAAGCACAATCAAGTTGCCACAGCAACGTCCAGTTCCATTTGCTAGCTAGCTGGCCAGAGGGTACCGGTACCGGACCCCCTGGAGTGATTCAATCCTGTACGACGGAGCAAAAGCCGACCGGTGAATCCAGGTCCCCTGAACTGCCACACATTTTGCACCTCTTGAGGACCACCTCAAATACATGGTGCCGAGAGGCTTGTCTTGCTGTCGCCATGGACCGTCTGCTTGATTCCCTGAAGACAGTTCAACAACTTACTTGTATCAGCTAGAGACTTCTTCCTGCACCTCTGGGTAAACCTGTAAGAATTGGAAAAAATCTTGGACTGGCAAATCCAGGCCCCCTGAACTGCCACACATTTTGCAGCTCTAGCTAGAGGACCACCTCAAATACAGACAGGCTTGTCCTGCCATTGCCACGGACCGTCTGCTTGATTCCCTGAAGACACTTTGACCACTTGTATCAGCTAGCTAGACACTTCTTCCTGCACCTCTGGGTAAACTTGTAAGAATTGGAAAAAAATCTTGTCTTGGCCAAATATTTGTGGAAGCATGAGGGTTGTAACAATAGGCTACTAGCAGGACTCTCCAATCGCGCCGCTTGGCAAAGGTTCCCATCTTCAATCCTTCCCGTTCCAAGCAAACCAGCTAGCTTCCCCCCTCTTTTCCCTCTCCCCCCCCAGAAAGAATAAGTCAGCGGGAGCTGCGATACTTCGGCAGAAAGACAAATAGAAGAAGGAGGATCATGTTTGAGATTGCACCCTTCTTTGAAGGCAGCCCCGGCGACAACACCCGACTTTGTCGCGTGTTGCCGCCCAGTATTATTCCCTCATTATAACCTTCTTTTTTCTGTAAGCTAGCCCTGGCGACAACACCCGACTTCGTCGTGTGTTGCCGCCCGCTAACCATAATTTTACAGCTGTCACTCCTGTATGTACCTGTAACTTTTGTAGCATCTGCTGGCTTATTGTGTTGAGTGCACTAACCTTGAATAATCGTGATTTATTCCTACCCCTAAATTTGTAGAACCTTCAATTTCCAGTTTTGTTGGCTTAAGCTATCCATCTAAGAAGCGCATTTTTAGGTAGCGCGAAAACGGGAGCACCCCTACCATACCATTCCACGTGTTTGGCATATAAAATCGTGACGTCGCTGGTTAAAGCTTTGGTAGTAATTCAGCAGTTTCGGAGGTGAGGTCATCCAACCGGATCCGACGAGCTCCTGATTTGTAAGGTAGCATGCATGATAACATACAGCCACGACCTTGCCAACCAGTCTGCCTTTCGGTTACTTAGTATGCGTATGTATTTGGGAGGCAAATTACATACAGAATGCACCAGGACGAGTTTACGGATTGCTAAGTACAATCTCATTTTATAAGATCGAGCCACTCCAGAGCCCAAAACTGTCAATTTGGAACCTCAGAAGCCACATTTTTGACGGTGTTAGTACATTCTATATGCTAAAAAGTAACGTCTGTAAGCTACCAGTTGATTAATAGCAGAATTTCATCATATGGCAAGTCACGAGGTGTCTTGTTCTTCGTAAGAATATCCATCATCCTGACGCCCCTTGCCTGCTTTGCATTCAGTGGGATATTGCTACGCCGACTCTTCTACACAGTACTGTCTGAATTGCCTTGATAATTCCCGTATGTCAGGAATTGAGGTCTCTTAGATCCTTGTTTGCATTGTCCTGGTTGTCGTTTTGTATGATTATGGCCACGGATCCTTCGCTAACTGGATTCCTCATCACTGTCAGTTCATCCGAATCCTCGTCTGTGGCTTCCTGATCCTCGTCCTCCGCATCTACCTCTTTCTCTGCCTTCTTCCCTAATACCGTCACTTTGGTTGCCAATTTGTGCATCCGTGCCTGTTTTCTATCATCCTCGTCGTCATCCTCATCTTCGTCGTCCTCATCCTCATCTTTAGAACCAGTACGATCAACTTTCAAGGGTGTCCCATTCCATTGATCATCTTCCTCTTGCATCTCTTGTGGAATGTCCTGACTGGTTCTTCCTCTTCCTCTTCCTGTGTTGTTGGTGTTGGTGCCCTTGCGCGGCCTCCCAGTGTCAGTAGCCCCTAGATCTGCAGCCCTTGCCCTGGATCTACTCCTTCTTGTTAGTCCAGTGTCAATGCCAGCACTCTGTTCCGTGCCTCATACAAGGTTGATAGGCTTGTATGTGACTTGATAGAGCTCTCTGGTTCTTAAAACAATCATCACAGTACTCACAACGATACCAAACCATTTGTAGATAGGTACAAATCAT